TTTGTGGCGGGAGAAGGCGGTATTTCCGGCCAGAGGGTGGGAGGGGGCGGTAAGCGGGGGCTGGGGGGAGGGGGCGGGGGGGGCCGCGCCGCGCGAGCCGTTGGGCCTGGCTCCGAGAAGGCGTCGCCGCCGCCGCCAGGAAACACAAGGAGCGGGAGAAGCGCAGCGTGGCGATGGGCGGGGGTAGAGCCCCGCCGGAGAGTCTGAGCGGCAGACGGTGACAGGTGAGTGCACCAGCGCGTGTCCCTAGGAGCCCCCCCCCCGCGATGGTCGCGCCCGGGCCCCCCGCGGTGCCGCGCCGGGCCGTACCACCGGTGCCCGCCGGGTGGGGACCGCGGTCCTTGAGCCCCCCCTTCCGGAACTGAGTGGGGGTGGCCGCGCGGGGGCGGGGGCACTAGATTCGGGGGGGCCGGGGGGCCGGGGCCGGGGCCGGGGCCCGGGCTGGCTGTACTTCTGGAGTGGCGTGGGGAGCTTCCCGGGCGTGCGAGGACCGAACCCCTGAGGGGGCTGGGGCCAGCGCCGGATGGGTGTGGGGGAGATCGTGCCTGGGGTCCAAGTACTAAACCATCGAGGGGCTCACTGTTTCAGGGGGAGAGGACTGTGCCATATTGGGGCTTTGAGAGAGGGGTTATTTAGTATTTAGAGGGTTGGGGGCGTCTGGAGAGGGGCCTGTGCCAAATGTGGCGGGGATGGGGCCGACTGGGCTATACCATCGAGACACGGGGGGAGCCATCCTGAAAACGTAGAGGAGCGCCCTGTCAGGGAAGGAGGGCAGTGATGTTTATGATCTCTTGAGGGACAGGGCTCAGGGGGCAAGAGAAGCTCAGGTGGGTATTTAGGGGCGTACTTCGGGAAGGTTGTGACGCCGAGCAGTGAGGAGGGGCTCCAGCTTCCTGTATTTAATGTGTAAGAGTGGGCGTTTATGCGAAACTCTCCCTTTATTGAACTTTAATAACTTTGGGGAGAACTGATGTTTACTGGTGTGCTTTGAACCCTCGAGTCGTCCGCTCGAGACTCCAGAATCCTCTCAGATTATTTAATTTAAGGTGTGTGGGACATCCTTTGCCAAGTTCTTTTCTTCCGGGGTTGGAGAAGATAGGTCTTGGGAGTCACTTAAATTTTCTGAGCCTTAGGCTCTTGTGAGGGAGGGGAGTACTGGGCTTCCATCCGAGGAGCTGTGGCCCTGGCCCTGCAGCCTAAGACTTAGGAGGGAAGAATGTTTGGAAGGGCAGCTTGTCTCAGGGCCAAGGGGCATCTTACTCATCAGGATTCTGAGACCCCATTTCTCATTTGGAGATTTCTTGGGGCTCAACAAAGGCTTGCCCTGGAGTGATTAGGGCTTCTGATTGGACTGTTGTTCAGCCTTGTCCACTCTTCCCAGAGAAGCAGCAAGAGTTCAGGCCCTTCCCTGATCTTGGTGGGCAGTGGGTATGAAGGGTCCAGGCACCCGCACAGACCACAGCGCGAGGCTCATCAGGGCCAGAGGCTGTTTGTGTCTCCTAGTTACAGCTGCCAGCCATGTTTACTGCTCCCTACCAGCAGAGTGATAACAGTTGGCCTGGAGGTGAGGCCTAGAGCTGTTTTCACAGCTGTTCCCCTCTGTATAGGCCAAGGGGCCTTTGAGGAGGGTGCCCCTGGCTAGGCCTGGCCCAGCCCCGGAGGAAGGCTGTTTTGAAGAGTTTGAAACAGTCAGATTCCTGGCAGATCTGGTTTCTCATTGTGGTCATTTGGCAAGTGCTCAAAGGGGCCAACTCTCCAAGTGTGTGGTCGGTGCCCCTGCTCCCTAGGCCAGCTTGTAACCTTGGCTTGCCCTGGGTCTGGATTTTCAGGAGGGCTGCCTGAAGTCCCTGATTGATCCAGCTGACTGAGCCAGTGATGTGGTCAGGGGGCAGATGGTGATCCCTGGCCTGCGGGAGTGGTTTTCAAGCTGACTGGCTTCCATGGGTCATGGTTCCTGGAGGGAAAGGTCCCCTGAGTCATTGAGGCAGTGGGCCTCCAAGGTTTTCCTCCACTAGGGGTTTATTCCTTCAGTCCTCTCCATTTAGAGGGTTTGCCTGATGGAGTTAACAGCAGCAATGGCCATGAAACTGATGACTGACATTAAGTGAGTACATTCTCTGTGCCACATACCATTCAAGATGCTTCACATAGGTTAGCCTCCTGAACACATTCTAGAGTGGCAGGCACTATAGTCATAATCTCCCTTTTAGAAGAGGAAACTGAAGCAGAGAGAGGCATCATTTGCAGAGTTAGTAAATAGCCAGTGTTTCTTGAGCGTTTACCCCATGCTGGATATGTGACAGGACGTTTGTTTGCACATTTGACTTCATTTAGCCTCAAAACACACCTGTGGTTTTCCCTACTTCATAGAGTCCTATGAGTGAGGTAGGAGAATGATACCCTTTTCACAGATGAGGAAACCAAGACACTGTGAAGTGAAATTATTTCCTCCAAGTTTGGAAGTGGTAGAGCTAGGATGTGAACTCTTTGCCCACTTTGGCCTCAGAGTGGCCCCCTTGTTAACAGGTGACTGGGGAGGTGGCTTTTGTTTCTGAATGGATGCTCTGTCCGGCCCTGGTTTTGGGGATCTTTTTGGTATTTGTCTTTTTGCAGTCAGATATTAAGGCTTGGAGGAGGAATTGACTTCCCCTGGGTCTTAGCAGACCCTCAGAGGCCAGGCTGGCTTTGAATCTAGGTCCATTAGGCCCTGATACCACATATACTCTTGGCTCACCAGGACCCAGGCTGGAATGGGTTTCTGTCCCCTTGACTCCTTCCCTTCATCCTTGAGCCTGGGGCTGCTGTGAGTGCTTTGCCTACCTGTCCAGCATTTCTGGGGAAACTTGGTGTCTCCTCAGAATTGAGCTAGGACTTCTTTTAGCCCTGGTCATGTGTGTGCTGGGAGAAGAATGAGACAGCAAGAGAGCTACACACGGGATGACATGGCTACTGGGAACTTGCGTTTAAACATGGGCACAAGCGTGAGTTCTGGCATTTTCACCTTGTGGCTGTGTGACCTTAGGACCCAGTGTTCACCTCTGCACTGTGGCTGAGAATGGCACCCACTTCAGGCTGTTCTGGAGATTCAGTGAGTTAATCCACAAGTTCCTCCAGTGGTACCTGGCACTATGGCAGTCTCCGTGGAAGTTACAGTTATGTTGCAGGATCAAGGCATCCTTGCTTATCATCCTCCACCCTGTGTTCTCTCAGATGTCCTGGGATCCAAGCCCCAGCTAGGACCCAGACATTTGATGTCCTGGTTTCTAATGCACTAGAGCCATTTCCAGCACGGAGTTCAAATCCAGCCCTGGTACTTGCTGGCTATGCTGGTTAAGTAGCCCTGCTACTTGCTGGTCTTGAGCAGGCTCCTCAACCCTCCCGACTGCCTTTTATCAGCGAGTCATGGGAGTGATGATAATTCCCACCTGCTAGGTTGTTGGGAAGGCTAAGTGCGCTGCTTTGGAAAGCACTGAACACTGCTGGCAGAACTGTAAGCCCGAAGTAACAACTTCCTCTTCTCTGCTTGAGATGGGTGGACAGGGTGCACCCTCAGCATATCCTACAATCGTGATTCTTGTTTCCGGTAGGACTTTCTTTTACAGAATCTTGTCAGAGGATGTCAGGAAGGTGAGGCTGATATATGGTGCCTCCATTTTCCAGATGCGGAAATGGGAGAAGGGGTGTGCAATCAAGTAAAAGCAGACAAATGTAGCTCTCGGCTCCCTCCCTCTCCCATGTAGCTCTTTGGGCCCCTCCAAGGTAGACATCATTATTTATTTATGTATTTATTTTTTGTGGTACTGGGGATCGAACTCAGGACCTTGCGCTTGTGAGGCAGGTGTGGTGCCACTGAGCCAAATCCCCAGTCCTATTTTGTTTTGTTGGTTTTTTTTTTTTTTTTTGAGACAGGGTGTTGATACGCAGTCCAGGCTGGCTTTGCATTCACTACGGAGTCTAGGCTGGCCTTGAATTTGTGGCGATCCTCTTGCCTCAGCCTCCCCAAGTGCCAGGATCACACATGTGAGTCACCATGCCTGGCGAGGTAGACATTATGGAGCCTCTCTAGATGTTAGGTTCTGTGCTTGCCTTTCCTCTTTGTACTTTTGTTGAATCTCCTCCAGAGCCCCTTCGGTGATGCAGAGGGTGGAAGTGAGCAGAGGGTAGGGGCTGCTGGGTCCAGGTGGGAGGTATGGGTTTCATCCTGAAGGCACTATGGAGCTGCAAAAGAATTTCATTCATCTGCCACAATTCATTGAGCACCTCCTATGTACATGCATTAATTGAATCAAGTGCTGGGAATGTGGGTGCACTTGTCAAAGTCCCTGTCTTCATGGGGGTGAGGGGAGAACAACTCAAAAAAAGGCAAATGCTGGTAAGCAAGGAGTGGTTCTGAATGATACTAGGCAGTGAATGCAGAGCAGGTGTGAGGGGTTGACAGGGAGCTTCTTTAGATGCCATGGCAGAGAAGGCCCCTGAAGTGATCCTGAGGGGGCAGGATGAGAAAGGAGCAGCCTTTTGGCTGGTGGACCCACAGTGCAAAGGTCTGAAGGGAGGCTGGAGGTGGTAGGTGCAGGGACTGGCTGTACAGGGACCTGTGTGGCTGGGCAGAGCAAGTGAGGGGAGCCAGGTGAGGGAGGTAGAGCCTGGTCCCTTAGAGCCTTGTTGATTGCTAGAGGAGGCATTTGGAGTTCCAGCAGGAGCAGCCTGGGCAGATTTTGGGTGTCAGAAAGTCACTGTGGCCTTGAGTTCTCAGGCTTCTGCCTGGGGACGGAGTTTCACATGCCTCCCACTTCCCCCTTAAGCAGAATCATTGCCTTATGGCTGGCAGAGGCCCAGTGGTCTCCCCGCTTTTCTGTGCTTTTCACACTCTGTTCCCCAGAGCCCATGGCTGTTATCTTTAGGGAGGTGGTGGGGGGCTCTGTGGGCTGACTTTGCTGCCCATCCCTTCCCAGTGGAGCTGGCTGAGCTGGTGGCAGATAGCAGTGTGGAGCCCCAGTCACGCTGATAGAGACCTTCTTTGCCGCAGTCTGCTCTCCACTCAGCTTGTGGGCCTGCAGTATGCTTGGCGTAGCTTTAGGTTTAGAAAGGCCAGTTTGTGGGCTTAACCTCCAGCAAAGACAGGTGCCTGGCTAGCAGCTCTGTGGCACTTATCAGGTTGTGGATTTATGAAGGGAGGGTGACGGGCCAGGAGAAAAAAAGGTAGCTGAATAATCAAGGAGGGTCTCTCCAAGGAGATGAGATGGGTAGGGCCTGGAGTGCCATGAAGGAGCGGTGACAGGACCTGGGTGACCTGCGGACCCAGGAGGATTGGGTGTGATTCCCACTTGATGGTGGCGAGACCCTTGAACCTGCATGGACTCCCCTAATTGGAAGTGTGGAAGCCAGGTAATGAATCTGAGTAGTAGGGCACCAGGGTCTTCTCAGTACACAAAGGTTCATGGTAGTGCTAGGTGAGGGTGACTTTTTTTTTTGTACCGGGGATCGAACTTGGGTCCTTGCACTTGTGCAGCAGGCGGCGAAACCATTGAGCTAAATCCCCGGCCCACACCTATGAGTTTTGTCCCTAAGGCTTAGCACAGTAAGCAGGAGTCCTGGAAGTTTTTTTTTTGTTTTTTTTTTTTAAGGTTTCTACTGGGGTACCATACTGGAAGGAGCAGAGCCCCCTCAGAGCAGGGCAAACCTCCTGGAGTCTCCAAAAGCCCCTGGGATGTGGCAGTGGGGACTGTCTTCTGCATTAGATCTCAGACCTCTGGAGGACCCAGAGACACCCCTCTCTGGGCCTCTCTTCAGCTTCCCAGAGCTCTTAGCAGAAGGCCCTCAGCCACCAGGCCTCTGGGCTGTGTGGTGGGGTGGTTCCGTGGCAGGCTCTTCTGGATAGCCAGCCAAGCAGTGAGAGGCCCAGCTGGGGGAGACGCCTGGGAGCAGGACCAGGAGGGAGGGAGGGAGCTTGGGAGGGATGAAGGGTGGGTTCTCGGTCTGGTCCCCTTGGGGCAGGACCCACTGCCAACTTGGCATCCACAGCAGGGCCTGGTTGCCCTGGGCACACTGAGTAGGAACAGCAAGCCAGGCCCAGCTAAGGGGAGACTGCATGTCAGAGGTCCTTGAAGGAAGTTCTTCCAGTCCAGCCGCCCTGCTGAGGAAGCTCTTCCACAGATGTTCCTAAGGGTGAGGCCAGAAATGCAAACTTTACTCGGTTTGCCACCTTGTGGGCCCTTCTGAACAGACAGCTGCCGCTCCTTGTTCCATCCAGCCTGCTTTCAGGCTCCTCATCCTCTGGTGGGGATTGACTCCCCTCCCCCATTGGATTGCCTGGGGGGTGGCTGATAGTGGGGAGTCTGAAAATGAGAATGTTCCACCGGGTGGGACTGTGTCAGAAGGACCTCATCCTGAGAAGGTGCTCAATTCATTAGAGCTGCCACTGCTGCTGCTGGAGGTGGTCAGGGTGCGCTTGCTGGGCCCCTGAGAGCAGAGCAGTGAGTGTTGTGGGAATGCCAGCCTGTTCCAGTCAGTTGGCAGAGTGGGTTTGAGGCTGGAGCCTTGGGAGAGGGGGCCGGTTAGCTGCGGTGCCTGGCTGGGTGGGCTGTGCGCTGAGCTGTTTCAGGTGCTCCGTGTGTGTTAGCACTGTAAACCTGCATGCAGCCTGGAGTGTGGGCAGTGTTGTCACCCTGTGTTGTAAATGGGGAACAGGCACAGAAAGGCACATAGCATGCCACTGTTATCATCTGTCTTTTTTTTCTTTTTTTTTGTACTGAAGATTGAACCCAGAGCCTTTACATTGAGTTGCATTCCAGCCCTTTTTTATTTTTTAATATTTTTGTTACTTTTTTTGTTTACTCTTGGTTTTTTTGAACAGTTCAGGCCTAACTCACTATGTAGCTCAGGCTGGCCTTGAACTCACAGCAGTCCTGCCTCAGCCTCCCAAATGCTGGGATCACAGGCGTGCGCCACCACACCCAGGGTCATGCTGTGTAGTTCAGGCTGGTTTTGAACTCACTGTGTAGCCCAGGCTGGCCTCAAGCTTGTGATTCTCCTGCCTCAGCCTCCTGAATCCTGAGATCACAGGTTTGTGCCACCACGCCTGGATTACTTTTTAATTTTGAGACAGGGTTTTGGTAAGTCACCAAGTTGTCTAGGCTGGGCTTCAATTTGGGGTTCTCCTGCCTTAGCCCCCCAGAGTGCTGGGATCATAGGCGTGCCGGTGTTGTTCTTGAGGTCAGTGAGCCAAGCAGCCTCTCTGCTGGGCACTGCTCCAAAGCTGAACGCATCTGCTCTCATTAGTCCTCCTCGAGCCTGGGAGCCTGGGCAGTCTCCTCATTTTATAAGCGAAAAAACAGAGGCCCAGGGAGGCTATGACATTTGCCTCAAGTCAGAGTATTAGTGACCGACATGAAACTTGAACCCAGCTGCATCGGGATTTTTTTTTTTCTTTTTTTTTTTTTGGTGGTACTGGGGATCGAACTCAGGACCTTGCACTTGCCAGGCAGGCACGGCACCACTGAGCTAAATCCCCAGCCCTTGCCTTTTAAAAAAAATTAGAATTAAGACTTCATTTGGATTTCACTGATTATTTTCATTAATATTCTTTGTATGTTTTAGTATCTAATCTAGGATCCCCCATTGCACTGGGTTGTCATGTCTAACTTGACTCTCTGATTGGGGGCAGTTTCCTTTATTTCTTTTTTTACAGGACCACCAAGGGAGTCTTTAACGGGGCCTGGGATGCTCCATATGGAACCAGTGCCATGGAGGGAAACCTCTAGAAAAACCTCTTTATTTCTTTTTTTTTTTGTACCAGGGATTGAACTCGGGACCTTTGGCTTGTGAGGCAGGTGGAGGAACCACTGAGCTAAATCCCCGGCCAGCAGTTTCCTTTATTTCTTGACACTGAGTTTGGAATATTATTGAATTGTTATTTTGTGGAATACCCCTCAAGTTGGTTTTGTCTGCTGTTTTTTCCGCATATCCTACTAGGGTTGGTTTTTTTTTAAAGAAAAAATAGGTGAAATATCTTTCTCATTACATCATATCAGGAAGTACATGTTGTCTACATGTCTTCTGACTGGTGATATTAATCTTTTTTGTTGTTTTTATTTTTATTTTTATTTTTTGAGACAGGGTCATGCCATATAGTCTAGGCTGGCCTTGAACTCCCCCTATGAAGCCCAGGCTGACCTCAAATGCATGGTGATCCTCCTGCCTCAGCCTCCTGATTGCTGGGATTACAGGCTTGTACCACCACACCTGACTAAATATTTTATTTATTTATTTATTTATTTATTTATT